TATTGAAATCCAGTGCCTAATGGAGCAGATGGTGGAGGTCTTAGACTCTGGAACATTTATAGTGATGCTTCTGAATGCAAAACACCAAGAGTAGATTTCACAGGCTGTGAATCTGATTTGATTTTGATGAGAGTAAAGCCTCCATTTTCACCATAACTTGAACCACACTGAAAGAATGTGACTGATACAGCTATCTAAGAAAAAGGAACACATTAAATATTATTCTCATAACGTGAAATGGTTTAAACAGGTGATTGTTTATTTGTGTCATTATAGCATTACTATATCTGTATATAACACCACCATCTTAACCTTATGTAAGATTTCATCAGAATAGCTCAAAGTAAGTTAAAATTAATGATTAAAGGAAACAAACAGAAATTTGTCTAAAGGCAGTGAACATTGTTTTCTAAGGTGGGGACCATGCTGAGGCTAATTACTGAAATATGGACCGAGGTACTACTAACCAATAGGTTGGGAACATCTCCTCCCATCAGCTATGTGGGAATAATCCATAGTGACCAGTGTGTACGACTAGAGCTGGTGAGATGCAGCTCAAGGCATCCAGAAACTATATGAGACCTGCACTTTCTGAGGCTTCTTCCTTCTCCAAGCAAGGCCCAAACTTCATCACAGACCACAGCAGGTATGGTGAAGAGGAAAGACGGACTACGTAGTCAGTGACTCCCAGGGACAATGAACCACTTACCCTTCTGCTAGCATGTGAATTCCAGTGAAGGAGAGAATTTAGTAAGACCCATCAAAATGTGTTATACACATAGAGGAGAGAGGAGTTTGAGGTGAATAAATATAGAAAGAATGTACAAATGGTAGTAAATCTCTGGCAGGAGATTTGAGATTCTCTATTATTCTGCTTCATATGGCCAATTCATTTCCCACTTTAGCTTTTTTTTCCACATGGATTTAAACAAGATATTAAAGATACTGTACTATTTTCTCCATGAAAATCAGCAGGTCTATCTCACGAAAATATGTGCTAGCCAAAAATGCAAAAATGTGATGGGAAGGTAGGAGAGAATGCTACTTGTTTTCCAGTATCTGTTCTCTGTATCTTCCAGATTTTTGGCTGGGTACATAGCATCCACAATAAAAATTACATTTCCTAGCCATCCTTACAGCTAGGTGTGGCCATCCCATTAAATTTTGGCCAATAGGATGTAAGCAGCAGAATCTTGTGTAATTTCTGAGAAACAGCCTTAAAGTGCACATACTATATAATTTATCATCCAAACTGGGATACTTAAGAGTAAAAAGGAGTGCTAAAAGAACTAAAATTTTATACCTTCTGAAATATGTATTAATCAACTAAGAATTGATTTTATTATATTGGTAGACTCAACTAGTTGTATTCAAAAACTATTTTCAAAAATAAAATTTCAAAAGAAATAAAAACATTCATGTACATTAAAACAAAAAAGAAACTAACAAAACAAAACAAAAAAAGAATTTTAATATTAATTATCTGCATATTAAAAAATAACAAGTAGAATAATTATTCTTGAAGCATATTCATATACTTTAACCCATTTCTTACCCACATCTGTCTGTAATATTGGGTCACGGCATTTTTCTGAATAATGTGTTTTTAAAAATATGGTATTTTAAAATAAAACTGCCAGCCATATTCTTCACAGTTGCATTTTACAGTAAGTTAATTTGAAATTATTGATACCTTCAACTGATTCTTCTTGGTATACTGTAATATTTTAAATTGAGAAAATGCTCTTTCTACAGCTTCTGAGTAACCTGATAAGCTCAGAGAAAATTTGCTAAGCAGAGATCATACTCAATTCTAATTTTTAAAATATTGAACAGTATAAATATTCCTGCCCAAATATTTTCATAGGCACTGTCTTTCTGCCTCCTTCAGAGAACCTTTCTTTAACAAACATTTTTATAAGAATACTTGTCAAATAAATTGTCTCTCTGATTTTTTGAATGTCTGGCCAGATTTAGATACTGCAAAATCTAGGCTCTCTCAATCTCATTTCATTTGTGTGTGTGTGTTTACAATTTATTCAAAATACAAGCACCACTAAAAGATTCTTTCTGAAAGGCAAAACATTTCAAATCACAACTACAGAACTGAACATTTTAATTTTGTATATCGAGTTGTCACTGTTTATTTTATTCAGTTCCTTGCTTGCTTTTGTAGGGAAAAATTTCAATGGAAATATGTTTTCATTAATTGTAATTTCCTAACAGTCTCATTTGGTGTTCCATTTGTTGCATATTTGATTTAAGATGTGCAAATGATTATGAACAAAACGCCACCAAATGTTTGATGACCCATTTAGAACAAACTTCAATACCATTCTTGGGCATAGATTTATTTACAAAGATTTCTAAAATCTATTGATGACAGACAATAAACAAAAGGGACATATGGCTGTGGTGAAGAATATTTTTATGCTCAACATCAGCTACATTCCCTAAATTGTATAGTTCAGAAGCTCCAACTATAAATATATATGTAAATTTTGATGTAACAATAGATTCTATTTCAATTAGAAGAATGTTGATCCTTGTTTGACAAGCATGTGTGCTATAACCAATTCCAACTACTCCATAGCTTGCTTGCTTTCTTTTCTTTTTTTTTTTTTGGAGGAGGGGGGCAGCCAGCCACTACAGGGATTGAAACCCTTGGTGTTATAACACTGCACTCTAACGAACTGAGATAACTGGCCAGCTTACATGGGTTTCTTAATGTAGAAAGAACATTGTTTTCAACACGACACTATACTTCACCAAAATCTGTACTCGTATTATTATAAACTAATAATTTTATCTTCAATGTTAAGCTTTTTAAACTGAATTTCCAATTTCACTCACAAAGGCTTTATCTTTGATAGATATATTTCCAAAAGATTTACCTTAATCCCATGAACTGGAGGAAAGAAAAAAACCAAACCATTTTTAGAACTAACCAAAATGAATTATTTGAAGTACCTAATGACACTGAACTAAAACTGAATTGTTTAACTGTTTGCAAAGTTCCTCTTCTGCCAACAAGCATAAAAACTATTGCTTCCGGTTTTTTTAATATGTGTACATAAAACTTGTAGTTGAAAGTGAGTGAAATTAACTTAGAAAAGTAGTTGTTTTTCTATATAAAAATTATGCTTCATAGAGTGATAATGTGTGTGTATATATATATAGAGTATATATACTTTTTTTCTGTAGTTGCATGTGTTAAATCATCTGCTGGCACAGTTTCTTTAAATTAACAACTAACTTTTGAAGTAGATCCTGACACTATTCCAGCAGATTTGACTCTTCTTGTTTAAATGTGGTCAGTGATACTACTATGGCCTCCACAGTGGATAGTAAATGTCGACAGACATTTTGTGCAAGTTACATATTCCTCATCAACTTTCTTGAGAAACAAAAATTCAGTAGTTTTTTAAAAATAAAACATATACTTTTAGTTTTCAAGCCATAAGTGTTTATTGCAAGAGCAAAGTGTTGTCAAACAATAAAAAGTTATAGATTCATACTATACAAGCAAGTGTGCTCAGTTTACTCTCTACTTGCTCTCCAGCAGAACTGACCACTCTAGATTTCCCATATATATTTTATAGACACCAAATCTTTGTTGCCCACTGAACTTCAGCTGGTACCTGGCGGCTTTGTGACTCTTGCAGTCCATGCATGGGCCATGGTACAATTGGGTAATATACCAAGTGACCAGCTGGGCAGTAGCATCAAATATTTCTCCCACCACCCGATACAGCAAGGAGTTAGCTGTCCTTAGACATTTGAGTCTAAATGCACTTTGTTGTATCAGCAATTGCCCTGCATTCTGTCCTTGATTGGCAGATGTTAGTTATACTGTGTCTGAAAGGGTTGGGAAAAGAGGTGAGTTATTGCTGGTTGTCTTTCAGATTCAATAACTCCTTAAAATGAGAATTCTCTCCCCTGTGAAAGGGTCTCACAATCATATCAGACTACAGTAGGCAAAAACTAAGGCAGAGGCTGGAAGTACAAAGTGGAGATCTATCAATTCATCCTGGCTTATTCTAATGTAGTTATTAATAATAATTCTCTGTTTAGAAATGAAAAATCCAGAACAAATGGGAGATGGAATAAGTCAGATGGGATTCCAGGATAGCTGGCTTACACTGAAACTATCCTTAGCAAACCAGGATGTACACTCACCTGACCTTCAAAGGAAGGAGATCTCTGTCCTTCATTGCCCTTCCTCCTCTTTCCTTCCTATTGGCTGAAGTGAGGACATGATGGCAACTGTCTTGGACCATGAAGTGGTAAGACAGGATGGCAGAACAGTAAGACAGAAGAAGCCTGGGTCCCTGACTACAGAATCACCGTACCAATCCTTGATTGCCTACTTCTGGACATTTTTAGATGAGAGAAAAAATAAATGCCTATCTTGTTTAGGCTACCTTAATAGTCAAACTTAATCCTACCTGATATACAAGGAATACCTCTATAACCTTTCCAGAAAGAGCTTGGCAATATGTAGCAAGAATACTAAAAATGTTTAAATCCTTTGAACCACTTCTACATATTTATATTAAAGAATAATCTGAAATGGGAAAAATTGATGTGCAAGGACGTTTACTTCAGATCTATTTATAATAGTGAAAAATAAGCAACCTAAATGTCCAACAATGAGGAATATGTTAAATAAGTTATATCTAAATGACTGAATATTATGCAGCCATTAAAAAATTATGAAAAATGTTCATAACTGGGAAAATGGTCACATCAATATACATCATAATACCAAGTGGGGAAAAATAGGCAGGAAAAAAATGAAATTAATTTTAAAACTCTCTCCTAGCATTTGCTAGATTTTCCTGGTGTTAACACTGCCATTATCATCTTCATCACAGTTTTACTGAGTATCCATGTGAGGGGAGTTGGGGCAGAAGGGCACACAGACCTCTGTGGCTCCAGCAGCCTACTAAGAGCTGCATAAAGGCCACCCAGGCACAAGCAAACCCTGCTGTTTTTACCTTGGTATTCTGTAGCAGAGCTAGTCCATTGCAGGCATTTGCTAGAAGAAAGTCTCCACTCAGGATAGCTATTTTATTTCCAAACTGCATGTCTTTCAGTGGCCCATCAGAAGATTGTAATTCATTTAAATTTACTATCCCACGATGTACAAGGAGAGCAGTATGGATAAGTTCTGTAATCTCCGCCAAACTTCTTTGACTAAAACATAAAGGTAAGATTTGTCTGAGTGTCAACAATACCATTTTATCACTAATGTTAGATTTCGGTTTTCAACAAAATATTTGATAGATTATTCCTTTCTTTTTTTGACCATTCCTCTTTAATGAAGCTTTTAATAGAGGCCTCTCCTCTGAGTAATTCTGAGATCTATCAGATGATCTTGACACCTTCCTTCTGTATCACACTCCTTACTGTTGACCCCACGATTCACTAGGATACCCTGGAGAGAAGCTGACCAACAGAGGTCCACCCCCCACGGTTCCATTTAGATACTCTGCTCCCACTATATCTTTCTCACTCTCATAACTTCGAGATTTCTGAGAATCCTCAGTAGTATCTAATCAAATTCTACTTTAAGGGGGAATATAATTTGTACCAGACACTAGGCTAAACACTTTATATTCATTCTCTCTTTTAATCCTGAATGCAAAGCTATGGGATTTACAGAAATGAATAAAATGTGTCTCTTCCTTCAGGACCTTACCTTTCAGAATAAGTATGAAGATATACACCTATAGCAGTGAATAAGAAGGAGAAGACCCTTGAGAAGCTTATAGTATAGTACTGTATTAGATGGGATTTCAGGAGATGCTTGTTTCCTTTTTTAATCTTTTCTATAGCTTGTACATTTTGTATAATGGTGAAAGTATTACTTTTATAATCAGAAAAAAATCAACAAGTAATTACTAAAAATTTAAACCTCATCACAACCCCATCATAAGTATTATTAACTCTGTCTTATAAGTGAGAAAATTGTTGCATACCAGTGAAATGACTTTCCAAAGGGCACACAGTAATGTAGAGCTAGAAATCTGTTGGAATGTGTTACAAATGGCCCCATGTGAATCATGCCTCTTTTTTTCCATGCTCCTGTGCAGTCCCCTCCACAATAACTCTGGGCTTAGCCATGTGACTTGCTTTGCCTAACAGGACATAAACAAACATTAAACAAGCAAAGCCTAATAAGTGCTTATGCAATGACAAGCTTAAAGCAGTCATATGAGTCACATGATCCAATGCAGAAGAACCAACTAGTCAATCCACAGAATGGTAAGAAATAAAATGGTTGTTTAAAGTCACTAAATTATAGGGTGGTTTGCTATGTAGCAATAGATACCTGATATAGAAACTGGTATATACAGGAGTGGGGTGCTGCTGCAACAAAAGCCTAAAATATGTGTCAATTGCTTTAAGTCTGAACAATGGGGGCTGGAGGCACAGGCTGAAGAATGGCAAACTCTTAGTGCAAGCTGAAAATGCAATGAGGAAATTGTTATTGGAGGATTGAGAAAGGGCACACTGTGTCATAAAGTAGCAAAACAATGGAAAAAACTGTTGCCTGTGGTAACTTGAAAGATAGAAAATATATCTAATAGACTTCGGGATTTGTATAAGGAGAATGCCAGGCAGAATGCTAAAAATGTCAATTGACTTCTTTTAGCTGCACATGATAAAGCACAAGAGAGAGATGCACTAAATAGAGAATTATTCAGTTTGCTATCACAATTTAGAGAAACAACAAAGGAGCAAAGACTTGCCAAGTTGAAAGAAAAACTGTTTCACATTTCCAGTATCTCCAGGAGAAGATTCACAAAATAAGAAATGGTATTAGGAAAAAGATCGAATCAAAGGTGTGGATGAAAGACCATTTGTAAAGACCTGAAAAATTGAAGATTGCACCTAGTAGACCCCTTCAGCTATGAATGAAAAATTGAAGATTGCACCTAGTAGACCCCTTCAGCTATGAATTTTAAGGGTATTGTCCCACAGCAGCCTCACTCTCAGCCCAAAGTAGAGATGTGTGTCTCAAAAAGAATTATGGATATGGCTTTTAAGGCATGGAGTGAACTCCAATCAGATTCATAGAAATCCCAAGTTTTTAAGGGAGTTGTATGAGTTTATGCTAAAAGTAACAGAAACAATTTAAGATGGAGGGGAAAAAAAGCAGCAGCAGCAGCAGCATCTTTCAGACCCCCAACTTCCTATGGCAAAAGAATTATGGATATGGCTTTTAAGGCATGGAGTGAACTCTAATCAGATTCATAGAAATCCCAAAAGTTTTTAAGGGAGTTGTATGAGTTTATGCTAAAAGTAACAGAAACAATTTAAGATGGAGGGGAAAAAAAGCAGCAGCAGCAGCAGCATCTTTCAGACCCCCAACTTCCTATGGCTAGGAAGTAGGCTGAGATAGCTACTCAGCTATAAGTATGAACCATTACTTACTGGAAAGAGAAGATAGCTCAGAGGGCAGAGCCAAAAGCTATAAAGAACAGTGGGTTAGGGAACCACTTCCAGGGAACAGAACTGGGCCCTAATCAAGAAACATTCCTTGCTCTTAGAGTAGATGGCCTGACAACAGATGCCCAGCTGGATTTCAGAATTGCTATAAATGCTATGTACCTCCCATTTCTCCTTATTTCTTTTTGTTTTTGTTTGCAGCTGGCCGGTAACTCCCTCTTTTTAATGGAAGAGAAATTGTGGTTATATTGTTTCTCACTCACTATTGCATGTTAGATATGTGGTGAGGTAGATAACCTGTCCTGTTAGTTCCCAGGTCCCTGGGTCAAGAGGTGTTGTACCTATGGAACCACATCCACATTTAGACCTCACACAAATCATGAAAGCATGGATTTTGACCTTGATGTCACGAAATGAGTGAGACTTTAGGGTCTTGGGAAATGGTATGTTTTACATATGGAAGGAATGTGAATCACTAGAGCCAGAAGACAGACTGTAGCAGATTGTTACACCAATCAGTCACACCCCCTTATATCCACACCATGTGTAGTCTCCTTCATTGACTCTGAGTTTGACCATATGAATTGTTTAGCCAATGGGACATCAGCAAATGTGGAACAAACAGGCCTGATAAGTGTTTTGACATTGGGGCTTACTATCTTGGAATGCTGCCCTGAGACTACATGTTAAGAAACCTGGTCTAGCCTCCTTGAAGAAATACAACATGCAGAGAGGCCCAATGTTCCAGCCAAGCCCGGCCCCCAGCTGACCTTCCAGGTGAATGGCAGGTGAATGCAGGAACATAGATAAACCCAGAAGAAACAGGCAAAGAAACAGTCCAGCCAACCCACAGAATTATGAGAAATTAATTGGCTATTATTTTAAGCCACCAAGTTTTGGGGTGGTTTGTTATGCAACAACAGATAACTAATAGAGACCACTAAACCCAATCTATTTCTACCTTACTAGGCTGCCTTCCAGTTGTGCTAGTTGAAAGATTTTTAAAAGTTTTGCTGAAGAAGCTAAATTTGAGCTGGGCCTTGAAAAATAAGTAGTATTTCCATAGTTGGAGATAAGTGGCAGAGATAAGAGTAGGGATTAGGAAGTGCAGAATAAGAAAAACCAGTAATCCAGGTTTAGAGAAGGCAAGACTAGAAAATGTGAACAGAGGGTGAAGAGGTCAGTTAGGCCAGAGGATAGGGTCTGTGTAGATAAGTGAGAAACAGGAATCTGGAGCTAGGTTATACCAGTTTTAAAACTCTATTTTATTACACAGACAGTTTTTTTAAGAAAGGAAGGATGAAATATATATATATATTTAATAACTTAGGAAGGATATTCTGAAGGTGATATGAAGAAAAATCTGAAACAGTAAGTAGTGAAAGTGGAGAGATGGTTGGGGGGGGAAGCTATTACAAAGGTCCAAAGGAGATTTAACAAAAGGGCTTGACCTAGGACAACAACCTTTGACATGGAAAGAAATAAATCTTCTCCCTAAATGGTACTAATTTAACAACTACAGTATAATAATAACATAAAGATACAATTAAATAAAATAAAGGAG